TGCAGACTCTCCACACGTGTAGACCCTACCTGAGGATAATGCAGCAACCATAGGAAAATCTGCTCAGTGAGATGTTGTTTTGAAGCCCTAGCATTTGTTATATTTTACTTTGTTAATACTACATTGTCAAAAAAAAAAGTCTTTATTCAGCCCTTCAGCTGAATTTGGACAATGGCTTCTGTGTGCACACATCTCAGAACACTCGATATAGGACATGCATTAAATATTTAAGTAGTTATTTCAATGTGTAGAATACAGAAGTAGGGCTTTGAAGTTTAGTATTCCAAAATGGACAGTAATAATTTTTATAATAATGTTAAAAATATATTTCTAATTTTTTTCAAAGCTGTAAGATTGCCTAACTCTAATTAAATTTAATAATTCAGAAAACTTCTGAAACATAAACTTATTGCCTTCAAGATAGGAAGTACTATAATAATGAGTTATTTGATCTATGATGTCAGAAATTCTGTATAAATATGTTTGAAAATAACCAAATATGAAATTGATTTTCACCACTTAATATTTTCCTCTATGTTTAACAGTGTGGTTGCAAACATTAGTGACTATTTTGTAGGCCACAAATTTGATTACACATTACTATCAATTTAATTTAAATGAAATTGTCTGATTTAATGAGTTTATTTTCTTCAATGTTTTATTCAATTTATTCAGTACATTTTTAATGAAAAGAATAAACTTTTCTAAAATTTATTTTAGGTTTTGAAACTAACATGAACATCACTAGCCGGGATGATCCTAACACATCCGAAATTGCTTCAGAGACTCAAGATAGAAATGCAAATAACCGTGGAATTCAATTATCTAATTCACTATCCAGTGCTCTAACTGCTGAAAATGGAAATTCTGTCTCCAATGGTAAGCACTTTTAAACTCAGAAGTAAATTAATAAAAGTTTTAAGCTGTCTCAACTTTCTAGGAAGAATGGATTTAAAATATAAAAATGAGGTAGGCTTAAGAACTGGAAAACAGAATATGAAGTGGGAGATTTCACTGTAGGTATTATTGTCATATTTTGCTTAGGCTAAAGACTGAGAATTGTAATCGTTGACTTTTCAGAGATTTTATAAAGTATTGGTCTATAAGAACCAGTAAAAAATGAGTCTTATAATAAGCAGAAGGAGGAAATGAAAGATCTACCAATATTTTTAATTAAAAAAATACTTTTTTTCTCATAACTAAGAAATGTAAAGGAAAATAATATTGAAGGAATGGTAAATACCAAACTGTCTTATGTATTTTAAGTGAATTATTGAATGTAGCATTTAGAAATTGGCTTGGCTGCATGTATCCAAAACTGTGTAGTCGTGGTTTAAACAAATATTTCCTCTCACACATAAAAGAAGCCCAGCACTTAGCACTGCTAGTAATGGCTGATGGGAAAACTCAGACCAACCTTTTTCTGAGAACATCCAGAAAAGCTGGTCAAAACATTTGTTGTTGTTGTTGCTAAGTCTGATTAAAGGAACCAGGGAACTACGGAGACATCAAAATCCGGGGAAGGGGCTGAAGAAGTGGATGGGATGAGTTGGCGCAGGGCGACCCCGGTCTAGGCTTCTCCTGGGGGCTCTGGAAGTACTCACCTCATCCAGAGAAGGCAGCTGAGAAGACAAGCCATGCTTCCAAAGGCCTCCTGGGATTG